AAGTCTTTTTTTAATGATGGGGTTATGGTTACCCAGCAAGTCTAACATAGACAGAAAAAGTGGAGAGCCTCCCTGTGACCCCGCTGTGCTGTTTTCTGTGGCTGTTAGAACTAGAATGTTTTAATGGAGTATTGATTTTCAGCCACCTCTTCTTTTTTTGCTCATCCATTAGTCCAAACATTGAGGTGTTTTTATCCATAATCTTCTTGTTCTCTGTCCATGCAAACATTGCATTTACATGGCCTTCAGATCTGCATGAGAACAGAAACCACTGTCTTTCATTGTAGCCTTTTTCCAGTTATGATAACGAATGAGGTGAAAACAGTCCTTGGAGCATCGGGGAGGGACAAATGTCTACAAGCAGAACAGTAAGCTGCATCTTTGGATTGTGAGTATTCTAACCAGGAATGAGATTTGTATCAGTCACTGCGGAAGCTTCTCCTGGCTCCTCCCTGGAGGAGCATTGGCTGCACTGGCACCTCCCACCTGGACTTGGATACGTCTAGAACAGTGGTTCTCAACCGGGGGGCGCGAGTAGGCTACAGGATGGGAGGAAAAAAAATCTGATGTTACCGGAGACTTTTGTGGTGTTTGGAGACTGACGTGAAAGCACGTATCACTCTGCGGTTACTGTGCTCAACGAGCAGCGGGTGCTGCCGTGAGCCCCTCCCCGGTCCAAAGCACTCACAGACGGTCAGTCTCTGTAACCTCGCGCAGCAGCCTGCAGTCAGAGCAAAGAGGAGACACACACACACACACACACACACACACACACACACACACACACACACACACACACACACCACTCCGCGTCCAGGCTGCAAATGAATCGCGCATGCGCATGGCCGCCGCCGTTCCCGCCCTGGCTCACAGAGCGGGGTTTAAATGTAAATGTTTCTCCAATGTTAGCTCCATTCACTCTCGTCTAGTCTCTTGCCAAGTTCGCTTGTGCCAGCTCTCACTACTCTATCTACTCTATCTATTATCAATCTCTATCATCTTATACTCCAAAACCAAACAGTCTTTTTAAAGATTATCCCCATCTCAGTTATTTTTATGTTTTTATGTTTATTTTTTTAACTGCTAGGCAGTGCACTTAGCCAACCACCCTCTGCCTTTTTCACCGTGTTGCAACACACACACACACACACACACACACACACACATCGTTACATCATAGCCTAAACTTTATTGAAATCACAACTAATCCACATCCAAATTATTTCAAAACCAACACGAATGGAGAGATTTCTAGTGAGGACCAACAAGACAACCGACGCACGAAGGTACGATGAAGCATACCTGCAGTTTGGGTTTACAGTCACAGCTGATCTGAGACCTCAGTGTGTCGTGTGTGCCGAGGTGCTGGCAAACGACAGCATGAAGCCCTGTAAACTAAAAAAGGCACCTCGAAACAAAGCATGCTGGCATTAAGGACAAACCGGCTGAATATTTTAAAAGAAAGCTTGATGGCCTCCATCAGCAACAGGCAACCATGTCAGTGCACAGCACTGTGTCCAAACAGTGTTTGGAGGCATCGTATGTAGTGGCCAAAAGAATAGCTAAACTGGGTAAACCCGCATACAATTGCCGAGACTCTCATTTTGCCGGCTGCGCAAGACATGCAGAATAATGATAGGAGATAGTGCAGCAGCCAAACTCAATGCAGTACCACTGTCCAATGACACAGTCGCTAGGAGAATTTCAGACATGTCTAATGATATCAGAGAGCAACTGATGTCATTCATAAAAAAGAGTCCTTACTACAGCGCTGCAGCTGGAGGAATCCACTGATATTGCTGGGCAGGCACAGCTCCTCACCTATGTCAGGTATCTGCGGGACAAGGCGATTGAGGAGGATGTCCTGTTTTGCCGGCCTCTTCAGTCGCACACTACAGGAGAAGCCATCTTCAATGTCCTTGATGTTTTTATCCGTGAAAATGGTTTGGCTTGGGACCGATGCGTTGGCCTGTGCACGGATGGTGCCGCGAGCGCGGCCTAGCTGCCCGCTGTTCAGCAAGTAGCTCCACTTGTGAAATGGACACATTGCATGGTCCATCGTGAAGCACTAGCTGCTAAAAAAATGCTGGTTCTCTTTGACTCCGTGCTGAACCAATCCGTGAAAATGATAAATCTCATCAAATCACGGCCGCTAAACTCTCTCTTGTTTGGGGTCTTCTGCCAGGAGATGGGGTCAGGGCACGAACAGCTGCTTCTGCACACTGAAGTTCGCTGGCTCTCCAGGGGGCGGGTGTTACAGCGGTTGTATGAGCTGCGAGAGGAGGTGAAGTGTTTTTGACAGAAATCAAATCAGATCTGGCGAAGCATCTGGATGACACTATGTGGCTTGCGTCTCTGTCCTATTTGGTCGATATATTTGACCGCTTGAATGGCCTCAACCTGTCTTTGCAAGGCCGCGAAACTCATATTCTGCTTCTTGCAGACAGAGTGGACGCCTTCACACAAAAACTTGACCTCTGGCATGGCCGCATCAGTCGAG